CACATGTTTTGAATCGTCGCCAAGCCCGTTGGAGTAGGTCTTTGTCAAGATTTGAATTCAAGATCACTTATCGACCATGAAAACAACAAGGTTTGTCAGACGCACTCTCTAGACGATCTTACCTTGCACCAAAAGAAGGAGATGCTACTTTTGATCAACAACAAATAATTCTCTTGAAGCTAGAGCATCTTCATCTTCGAGCAATGAAATCAATACTAACTGCTCATTCAACTTTCATTAAGCAAATTCAGTCAAGTATGTCTTTTGATCCTCTTATTTGTGATATTAAGGAAAATCCTTCAAAGTCTCATAATACTTCTAAGTTTGAATTCAAGAAGAATCTACTATATTTTGAGGGACACCTATATGTTCTAGAAGGTGAAGCTCAATTACGTGTTCTTCAAGCTCATCATGACTTTCTATCAGCAAGACATTTTAGGTACAATAAAACTTTGGAACTAATATCTAAGGACTTTTGGTGGCCACAAATGTAGAAAGCAGTCAAAGATTTTGTACAATCTTGTGATGTTTGCTCGAGATAAAAAAACTCCTCGTCATCGACTTTATGGACTTTTTCAGCCATTATTCATTCCAGAACAACCATAGTCTTCTATCTCTATGGATTTCACCACGGATCTCCTAATTTTAGATTCTTATGACTGTATATTCGTGATATTAGATTATTTTACGAAGATGGCATATTTTGTACCATGTACAAAATCTATCACAGGTGAAGAAACAGCTAAGCTCTTTCTTGATAATATCTATCGCTATCATGGATTATCCAAGGATATTATATCAGATAGAGAAACTCAATTTGTATCAAGATTTTGGCAAACTCTTTTCAAGATTCTAAAAGTGGATATAAAACTATCTTCGACATTCCATCCTTAAAATGATGGACAAATGGAGCGTATTAATCAAGTTTTGGAGTTATATTTAAGATGTACTATTAAGTACCAACAAGATGATTGGACAACTCTTTTGCCATTGACAGAGTTTGCTAACAATAACACGGTACATTCTTCTATAAAATAAACACCTTTCTTTGTCAATTATGGTTATCATCCACGACTTGATACTTTTGACTTTTCAAAAGTTGATAATCCTACTGCGAAAGATTGAGCAATTCATTTGTCAAAACTATATGCAACGATGAAGGTGTAGTTAAAAGAAGCTCAAGAATAACAAAAGGTCAATGCGAATGTCTATCAAAAGGAACAACTACCATTCCACATGGGTGATAAGGTATGGTTACTTCATTGCAATATCAAGACCACTTGTCCTTGTGACAAGTTGGACTATCGAAGGCTTGTGCCATTTTCTATTTCTACACAAATCAATCTAATTGCATATCGTTTACATCTACTGGAGTCAATGAAAATCCATCCAATATTCCACGTATCTCTTCTTGAACCATACAAGACAGTGGACATATCAAGAAGAAAACAAGCTGCACCTCCTTCTATAGAAGTAGACAATAATGAAGAGTTTAAAGTGGAAGAAGTCTTAGATTCAAGGTGACGACAAAATAAATTAGAATATCTTATCCATTGGCATGGATAGAATATTAGTGAATGCACATGTGAGCCAATAAAGAATCTTATAAATGCAGCAAAGGTGGTAGAGACTTTTCATCGATGACATCCATCAAAATGAAGATGAAAACCTTCTTTATAAAAGAAACAAGATCTAGGCAAGATAACATTCTACTTTCAATCCTTATTTGTAGCTTCTTTGTAGTTGTGACGCTTAGAAAATAGAAAAACAAAAATAAGCGGATTCGACTCAAAAGCCTTTATTTGCTAACTTATCAAACGAGACATTACGATTGTCACATCCTTCAAGTCGACGTAATCGAGATAAAGATCTTCAAGAATGACATGTTTTTCCTTGAATAGATGGCGAGATACTACGCATTTGGTATCACGACCTTGGAAGGGACTCCCGATGTTTGGTGATTTTACTAGAGGTAGAAACAACTCCTGATGGTGTTTTAAATGTTTTATTCAAAGGAAGTTATAAAGGCCTCAACAATGACCAAATAATTGGGTGGTCTTCCCACCTTAGTATGGGACACTACCGATGGTTGAGAGGCCCTATCAATCATCTTCGAAGAGAATAAAGATCAGAGTATGTGGCGAATACAATTAGTCGCATCATAGATTTTCTCAACATATGATTACCACTTCTTGTGGAACTCGTCCCTAAAAAGGGGGGTAATGTCACGGACATACGCATGTAAGCTAGTAATTACAAGTATAAATAGGTAGAAATAAGTAAGAGTAAGTAAAAGTAAGTTAATTCTATAATATTTGATATGATAGCTTTCTAGAAGCTTTATAGACATTACTTTGACTTTATAGGCATCTTTAATTGACTTTTTGGGATTAGAAACGTGGTCAACAAGTTGGCTATGTGCCACACATGTTGTTAGCTTAAAGACCAAGTTAACTATGTGGCCCACACATAGAAAAACTTGCCTTGTAAATCAAGGCATGTGTTCTACAAAGTCAACATATATTGGAGGTCCTATAGAACGTTGCCACGTAGTCCCTAGTAAGATAATATATATAGAGACAAGAATGAAGCCTTCTTCACTCTTGTCAATTCCTTTCTTGCTTCTAATCTAATTTCAAGGGTCTATAGTTTTCTTGGCTTTTGGCAATAGTCATTCTAGTTTCTTTCTTAATACACATATCAAGTTATTTCTATTTTGTCATCTTTCTTTGAAAGAAGTCTCACTTGTTAATTTGTCTTTATCATGCTCTTGACCTTGACACATATGTGTTGTTATATGTCAAAACTTAAATTTTTTAATAATATTCATTTATTTTTTATTACATTTTTTATCTTATATTTTATAAGTTTAATTTTAATAATTATATTATATTTAATACTATTATGATATCAAATTAGTTCAAAGATTTTTAAAACCTTTAAGAGTAGAATTATTTATATATTTCTATAATAATTCTTGATATTTATTTAATTAAAGCCATCATTTATTCAAAAAAAATATATATATATATATATATATATCTATATATATTCTATAAATATGTTAAAATATTAAAAATACTTCTATATGATTAATAATAGTAAATCTATCCTCAAATGTAATAAAGTATCATTTTTTTTTTTAAAAAAAATAGTCAAATTCTAAAGCCCAAATTGCTTGTTGCATAAATTTTGGCACATCCCTTTTTGAGCATATTTTGCCTTCTCTTTTGTTAATTTCTATGTTTGTAACACCTTAATGGGAACCATGGTAGCAAAGCCTCCCAATGGATAGTTTTAGAGGTTACTAGGAATCTTTGGAAGCTACATTACTACTATGTCAGAAGCAATGTTTATCACCACTAAGATAGAATATATATAGATATATCTATATAATATATATATATATATATATATATCTATATATATTCTATATATCTATATATATTCTATATATATATATCTATATATAAGTTGTCTTTTTTGGTTTTATAATTGGATGTGCATCCAAGTTGCATCTACTGACAAGATGGCAACATTTGTGTCCATGTTAGTGTTAATAGATTGCTTTGTGGACAATGGCCTTTCTTTTTGCTGTTTCCTCCTCTGAAAACCCATTTCTTAAACACCATTTTGAGCGTAGCAGAGTTCCGTGGTGAAATTTGAAGCTCTGGTTGTCGAAGCAGTGAGAACGCTGCAGTAGATGTTGCACCACAAAGCTCCATCGACTGATCACCAGGAAAAGAACACGGTCTTTGCTGTGAAGCGATTGATAATGACGACTTGAATGATGGATATGTTGTTAACCTACCCAAACCCTAGTTGTAGCAGTCAGCACGAACAGTCTTGCTCTCGGTGCACAGAACAATCTCGTACAAGACCGGAGAGAAAGGGTTGAAAGATCTGGCTGGATTGCTTGGTTACTGTCACTGATCGCGATACAATCTTCTTAGGATTCAATATCTGATGCTGTTGAAATAGACTTTTCTTAAACTTTCCTGTGAATGTGAAGTAGTTTCGGCAGGATCGTCGGCCGTGGTGGACGCGATCACGGCGTTCAGATGAGAAGTGGCTGGGCTTAGTGCTGGTGATCAGGTTAGAGGAGTTGCTTCGATTGGGCTTGAGCCAATCATGTTGGGTTCAGGAACAGGATAAGGTTTTCGTGACCAATCGCTTGTGCATTATTCCTATCATACAATCCGGATTAGTTTCATGTTTTCCGATGTGGACACATTCGCGAAACTGACTTCGTAAAGAATACAGAATAGGACAGTACTCTTGACAAGTTGAAAATTTGCGCCATCTGCTGCAACCAGTGTCGTGTTCGACTTGAATTTTGTATCAGATTGCATGATCTATTCGCAGCATTCATGAACGGTCAGCATTCTAACTGACTGATACACTAGAAAACAAACGCATGCATACGCGTCGAATCCTGCTGGATGTGCCAGTTACCGTGGTTTGGTTGTGCTGCAGCTGGCACGCGTTCTTTGGTGATAAGAAATGTGAAATGATGTGCCGACCGGAGCAGCAGAACTTGTCCAGTCATTTCTCCAGATGGAAAGGTTTCCGGTAAGTTTACAGATCATTAAGAGAATGATTCGAATTGAAACGTAATATGTGTACAATGAAACGAAGTGGCCAAATGACACGTCCCATCCTTTCTTCTCTGAAGTACTATCATTTCCTTTTCTATCGTTGAAAAAGGTCGCTCTATTTACTGTTCAGAATGTCGATTAGTGATCCTCCTCGTTTTCTGCATATGAAGATGGTGGGTTGCGCTTACTATCAGTGATGTCCACATCACAGAGAATTGATGGAATTAACAGTTAGATAGGAGAGTCCAGCTTAACGTTGCCAATGGACATTCATTAGAGAAATTTGTGAAAACTGTAGGTTGGTCATAAAACCTCATCTTGATGCTGCACATCCTCACACATTACGTAATACATACAGTAGCAATGGCGAAGTGATCAAATATTTCCATAGAACAGAACAGCTAAATGTGATGCTTGAGAAAAATCAATTAACTGTTACAAACATGTACAAACCGTCGAACACGTCGCAACGATGAGTCGCACTGCGAAGACTGGAAGACAACAATGATCCATCTATTGGTCACTTCACAAACAGCTATGTGCAGGCCCGCATGAGCTTTTTACAAAAGAAACAACTCACGTCAGTACCCGATGAATTGGTTCATCAGGTGCTTTCCCAAAACTCTACTCCAACTCATATATCTACTCAGACCCGCGGCCTTGCTCTACCCAGAAGGCAGAGGTACAGTACAGTCCCATGGTCTACAGGTGCTCGTCCTTAAGCTACCTAAAAAGAACCATTAAATCCTTACTTAGTGGCCACTGGGATGGTGATGATGTCTCCAGCATCCAGAGCGTCTCCAACAATAATGCCATTAGCAGCCTTTAACGACTCTACTGAGACCTGTTGCAAAATAAAATGGAAGTTAGAAACTGATAATGCACACACCAAGCTGGAGTACCTGAACGGGCATGAAAATTTCCAAGTCAAAGAACATTCCCCTATTTCTCAATCACGAAGGCGGAGATAGATGATGACAGATTACAATTCTCATGAGGATAGATATTCAGTATTTGCTAGTTCGCGTGCGTATTTTGGTCGCTCTTTTTTCTTCCCTATTTGTATTCAGCCACATCACATTTCGCAATCACAGATAGTTACCAGCTCCCACTCTCTTTGGAAGAGACCGGCAATTACCAGTGAAAACTGATGTGACACGCACTACATGATGATGGAGGAGAAGAACGAGAGGATATTGAAATTCAAGATTATGAGCATGATGAAGAGCCATAGAAGAAAAAATAAGGCAAACGCAGCTATTCCATCTCATTGGGGAAGGCGCCCTATGATAACAATCTTGTTTGAACATACTTCCCGAGAAACTTCAACAGGTTTCGATAAGAGACGCTTACATTGTACTTCCGAGACAAGCCCCACAGTGTGTCACCCTTTTGGATGGTAACCTGCTTGCCATCAATCCTCTTCTTTGCGTCTACGCCTTTACCGTAAAGGTCCCTTCCAGCTTCTTGCACCTTCTCTTTCTTGTCCTGAGTGAATCCCTTAACATTGTTGCCGGCATCCTTCAAAGCGCCCTTGGATTCCCTGCCCTTCTCCTCCACTGATCCTTTCAGACTCTTAGATTTGTCCTCAAATGTGCCCTTAACATCATTAGCTTCGTTCCTGGCCTTACCAAAGAAGCCTCGTGTCTGCTGCTTTGCTTCATTGGCCTTGCTCTCAACTTCGTTCTTCGCTCCCCACCCCCTGTTCTCCGCATCATTTCTAGCGGACCGAGCCTTGTCATCAATCTGGGCGGCCTTGTCTTTCACGTAGCCCTTCCCTTCTTGAGCCTTATCCTTGACGTATTCCTTTCCTTCCTGAGCCTTATCCTCTGTCACGTGAGCACCTCTGCTGAAGGTATCCTGCACCTTGTGGCCTACATCCTCAAGCTTGTGAACCAAGTTACCAGCAGCATCCCTTATCCCTCCCTTGGCCTGAGATGCCTTATAGTCAGCGGCATCTTTCGCTTCTTGGGATTTGCTCTGCAAAAAATGTAACTATGTCTGATTCAGCACGCAAACTTAAGCATTGAGAAAAACACGAGTACTCTGTACGGATTCGACATAATAGAGCGCTATGAGAATTCCCACAAAAGCTGATATCAAATGTAAAAATATTTTCTTCAAGCAATACTGTCGATCACAGCTACGCGTAAATTAATGCTTATATGAACTAAAAGCACTAACATGCGCGTGGTAGACGATCAACCTCATGTGGGCTCAACTTGCAGAGAAAGTGCCCCTTCTAAAACCAAAAACAATTTACCTTTGTGGTATCAAATGCATTCGAAGCATCCTTCTTGATTCCCATCTCCGTGTTTACGAGAGGATGATCCTTTCTGCTAAATGTCTTGTACAAACCCCATGCAACGCCTGTTGCCACGACAACACCAGCCACTTTAATGATGATCTTGTTCTCATCATTATTCTTTCCACCCTTGGGACCTCCGCTAGACATATTGATGGCTGCATATCAAACACAAGTAACAAGATTTAGTATCGCTTCCAATGAATACAAGCTCCAGATCATCACACAGACATGCACACTACGACATAGACTATATAATCACCGCCTATACTAATAATAAAACCCACTCCAGCGCACACAAGACCGCGCGTTTCCTCGGTCCATGCTACCCAGCTCGGATCACACCAACTCCCAAGAATACCCTCGCCCCGCTGAGAAACCGCAGAATCGCTCAAGTAAGCTACGCTACGTCGCAAAGACCATACACCACCCATTTTCAGACAAACTCAAGCCTATAGCAAATATACACCCACCCGCTACACAAATGTTTCGAGCACCAGGGCAGAAACCTACGCGGAAAAGAAACGCCAACAAAAAAAATCTCTCAAACCCAAGATACACCACCAAGAGTCTAATGAATGCACACCTAACACCGAAATACGACGGTGCGCAGCGAGAACACTCACCTTATTGATCAGAACGGCTATGTGGTGCAGCAGACGGCGGTGTGAAGCGAGTGTGGAGGTGTGGTGGGGATTGAAGCAAAGGGGTCGAATACAGACGCAGGGGCACAAGATAGTTAAATGTTGATGGTGCAGCGCATGCCGGAGTCGGAAGGGGGAAATTTTACAAGGGGGACTGAAGGACGGTCTTCTTTGCTGCTGCCACGAGTTCATATACCGCCGTGCCGCATGGCACCGCCCTATTGGCCATTTGGATCGCGCATCCGCGGCTGCCCCATCGCGCCCCGTGGTGTCGTGTGAACCCAGCCGCATCCGGTACCGCTCAGAACCGTCATTGTGCCGTAACTCTCTGTGAAGAGTGCCCTTTTTCGGCTCCAGCTCGGTCTCTACCAAGCCCTGTCGAATGAGTGTGGCCCCAGTGAGGCTCACGTTCGGTCGCGCAAAGAGCGGGCACTCAACTTGAATCCAGTCATCTATTGAAGTGGGTTGTGGGTTCCCCAAGTTGGGCCCCTCTTGCAGCAGTTGCGCTTGCGTTAATTGCTGACATAAGCAGTAAATTTGAATGACCCATTCACAATTTTCCTACTCCTCTGATTTCAATTCTCACGACGTTTTCTGTCCAGTTCTTGACGAGGTCTATCGGAAACTCCGATGCTATTCTCGGTAAGCTGCACTCTGGCGGTTTATTATCTAGATGATCGTGCCTTACACAACAGTTTTATTGGTTGACTGATGGAGTAAACATGCATTATGATAAGTTGTTGCTTTGGAAGCGAGTCATCAGATTAGATGATGGAAATTGTGAACCTGCAATTACTGACAACATTCCCCTCATCCCAATCATTCAACATTGATTGTGGCTGATGCGGTCGAGGTATGTGACATCGTCCCAAGACGTATCTGGCAGTTCAAAACTTTGATCATTGAATGGCCAACTGGTGGTCGCGAGAGATGATTACATGTCCCTAATCAGGCCATTCAGAGAATTCTACAAAAACTAAATAAACAGGCTTCGAACCGAATGTGCTAATCGAAATGGGAAAAGACTCCTGTGCTCGCCCAAGCGACCATCCCTAGAGACTAGGGTTCAACGTATTTGCGTTCAAATTGCGACAATTTCCACATCCCTCACGATTGGACGCAAAGGTTTCGTCACGCAAAAGCACTGTGCAAATTTGTCTTTCATAGGTTCCCTATGTCGAACGTGTTGCTAAAGCCACGGTTATGAACCCCTGCCACGATTCGCCAGAGATGATTGATTGTGCCGCTGGCCATTGAAGCATCTCTGAGTGCGAACCATCGTGGAGACCAGAACATGGGTTCGGAGTTTCGCCAAGCAGATGTGCTGCGGCGAATATGAATGAATGTATGTTGTTCTCGTTGTTTGTTCAAACTCTTGATATCGCTTTGATCCTAGTGCGAGTATGACTTCCACATCGAGAGGCCCAGTTCGGCAGGAGGTTGGTCGCCCTCCGGATCGGAAGAGCTGGCACCGGCATGGTTGCCACGCTCACTGCGAGAGTTGGTGGCGAATTTCAAACTTGGCAAATGCAGCCCTTGCTCTTGCTCTTGAGCCGTCCATTCGGAGACATAGTAGTCTTCTTCGGAGGCGCTCTTGGAGGGTGGAAAGAACATACTGCCCCACTGGGGGAACCATATCAATGTTACTAGCAAGGTGCAGCAGACAATCATAATCCCCATGTACACAAGTCCCTCTTCCGTGTGATACGAGGACGATGTGAAAAACAGAGATTGCGTCAACACGGAGCCCACATTCCCTCCTGCCGCAGTCAATCCGATGATCACACCCAGCGACCTCCGAGAGACGAAGGGAACGATTCCAAAAGTAGCTCCACAGGCAGCCTGGACAAAGATAGAGAACAGGATCATGGAAATAATCGCACCGGTTAAGTTGCTCATTTTGCCGAGGATGATGCACAAGAGCCCTCCTAGAGATTGCACAGTCCACAAGAACCACAAGCGGCCGCGCATTCCTAGATAACGTCCGGCAACATCTGAGAGATATCCACCGGCTGGACGCGAGTAGATATTCATCAAACCAGAGGCCGCTGCAATAAGCCCAGCGGTATTGAGGTTCAAATTGAAACGGTCGTAGAAATATTCGGCGATGATGTTGTCGACGGTCAGTTCAACCCCAAAGCTGTAGCCGTAAAGAATGAAAAATATCCACGTTTTGTAACTCGTCGATGCGAAGTACAAGACCTGCCATCATCCTCAATCCGGGATATCAGCAACTGGCATACAAAGTTCAACAAAAGGTCTAAATACTCGTTGGCATCCTGCAGTTCATTTCAAGTTTCAGGCAATGCAGAGATGTAATCAGGTAACAAATGTGGTAATAGTTTCAGACCCTGAGAAATCCTTGCTTGACATCTCCTCCTTGTTTCTGGAGCTGTGCGTGGTCTCCATCGGGAAGATCTTGACCAAGACATAAAACCAGGAGTCCTAAGATAATGTGCATCGATCCCGGTACGAAAAACGCCAGTCTCCATGCTGTGAAATCTGGGTGATGAAAGCTGAATGACATTCACACAGGACATTAATAAGTAAAGCATGTGCCAACAATCAATCGAGGCTAGGCCTACACATTTTACGAAGAAATGACTCACGACATGCGTATAAGAATGCCTGGATGAAGACGTTTAGCCATTTTTCAGTCACACATTAGTGAACTTACCTATCTCGAAACAAGGCGAATATCAGTGGCATCATAATTTGCGTAACGCCGCCTCCGAGATTACCCCACCCGGCAGCAAGGCCATTAACAGTGCCCACAATCTTGCTGGTGAACATGGAGCTCACCCAGTATTCGCACGAGACGAAGGTTGCAAGGGAAAATCCGATGAAGAATCGGCAGATCATAAAGCCCTCAGCATCATCAACAACCCCCATTGAGAACACGGCTGGTGCATTGACCATTATCAGAAATGCAGAGCCGTATCGTGGCCCCACCAGATCGCACACTGTTCCCATCATGAGCCGCGACAAGATCGATCCTGCGAAAGTCACAAACAAAAAAATGAGCCATCTTCAAAACATACTTGAATCGAAGTCAAAACATTCTTAGTAACTGAAGAGAGTCCAATGATGTCGGTTAGACGGTGATTGAACATTACTCATTGTCACCATCAAAAGGCCGATTTCGTTTTCTTAAACTGTTTCATGACACAAACTCAAATCAACGTGTCAAACAACGACTTCCACAATGTAAAGCAATGACGTCGCATTCTCTGTGCATGACTCACCGGAAACAGATGCAACGGCAGCTTGTCCAATGTCAGATTTGGTCATGTTCAGGTTGTCACGGATGATGGGAATGAGTGGCGGCGCCGCGAATGTAGATAGAAAGCAAACAAAGAAGGAGATCCAGGAGAGATGAAACGACCGCATGTGCGGCTGTGCGAAGCTGAACACTTTAACAACTTTGGCCTTGTGCTCGGAATCGACAGGCAGCAAGAACTCGACATCGCCAGAAGCACGCATTGAACCTCCTTTGTCCGCCATGATAGATCTCACCAGTTCAGTTGCAACTTGCTCAGATCTGCACAGCGTCGACGTAAGACTCTGCCAGTGCACCCAGCTCAGGCATCACTGAGATTGCGAACGAGGATAGAAACTAACTCAGCTGTTTTCTACATCAGGCACAAATTCGACAGCGTTATCACCAGTTCCCTGCTGCTTCTCAGATCGTAACTCTACCGACTTTGATGTGGGAATTGAGGAGCATGTGGGAGCGGATTTAGAACTGGCGTTCCAGATGGAACTTGAGAGCTTGATTTATTTGACAGCGTTGAGGGCAACTGCGATCCAAGCTGCTGCAACTCGACGCCGGTTTCTTGTAGGAAGACCAGTGAGGCGGCGGGGGGATGCAACTTGTAAAGACCAAATGCGCATAAATATAGAACTGAGGGCCCTAATGTAATGTACTTGACGTTAGCGCAGTTACTTTACGTGGCGCCTGGTTTGAGACTAAGTTGCGGAGGAACTGGAACAGCCAGTCATATAGTGTGAAATCTGCACTTTGCCAAGCGAGTCGCCAAATTCAAATTCGCATCAATCTATAACAAGTAACATTCGAGGCTATACCGGGTCGAAGCAGCAGGCCACCGATTGATTATCGAAATCACAAACCTAGTCTGCCTCTTCCTATAGTTTTTCCCGTTCCCTTATCATGTGCAAGGCATGAGCGTAGATTTACGATAGGATTTTCTAGTCTGAAATGACTTCTGGACGTGCAGATAAACCCACAAATAGCTGATTCTCCAATGAACTGGCCATTGCATGACTGTGCGGTGAGCACCATATTTTAAGGATGAACTTGAAAAGCAAAAAATGGAGGCAAAAATCACAAGCGTACTGAATAGAAATGACAAATTAGTTCAGTATGATGTCTCCCAATCGTTCATGAACAGATGAATAAGAATGTGGAAAGGACAGGCCATCACAGAGAGCATCTATTTTCTCGACTGGCGACCATCTGCACCGTAATACTGCCTCGTAGTTTCCTTAGAAAATTCGGCAAATGTACAACCATCCTTCCATCGTGATGCCAACAGGGGAATATGCGTCTCTAGATTTGTGGCAACTCCTCCAGCTTCTAGAGCTCGTTCTTGAGCGGTCCCGGGCGGAATAGACAAGCTTCTGTCCCAAGCAGGTTGCAAAAATACCGCCATTGTTTGCCGACTTACGTCTCTGTCCGAAGTGGGTCGCATTACACAGTGCGGTCTTGCAACGAGTTCTCCCCCCGAGAGCAGCTGAGCGGCGTCGCCTACTTGAACTATCAGGTAGTCGGAAGGTATCGATACAGATGTGGTTCGGCTGTGGGCATCCATGACTCGTAGGGATGAGTACCCATCAGGGGGTGCGCATTCTTGCATGCTAAAATTCAAATCCTGCGAGGATGAAGACAACTGTTGTGATCTTGACGAACGAGGTTTCTCCTCTTGAATACTGCGATTGTCGCATGATTGTAGCTGATTGGAATCACCCTCTGATAATTTATGATCAACCTTCCAGTGATCCCCATTTACAGCTGGTTCAGTCCATCTTTTAGTTGCGACATCTGGCTCTGAAGGAACATCCCGGGTGGGTTTAAGAAAGAGAGGTGAAGTTAGAACAGTGAAGATGCCATAGTCGCAGTGCCACTGCTGCCACAGAGTTGAGACCCCGGAATCTGCAGCTGCATTCCAGACTTCTGAGATTCTTGCTTTGCTAGCATTCTTCTGCAAGCACATTAGAACACAAGATCACTCCGACTTCGAAACCGACACAGAAATCTTTACACTTTGGAATCGACTTGGTGATTAAAAGCATGACAGTTCCAAGCGTCGATTACTAACATGGATCATGTCAGTCGTAGAGAAGTCACGGTTTGAGCAATAGTATCCAAATCAAGGGGATTTACCCACCAAATGGGGCAAATGAGGTAAAGAGAACTGCATTAATTTTAAATTGAGATCAAACACGCCGTTCCCTGAACAAGAATGAGAATAAATCTCAGAAATGACCCAGAATTGTGCATCTACGTAAACAGATTAAATGAACTCACATTTTGTTTCTGCGTCTTCGAGTTCTGGAGAGAGCGAAGGATATCTTTCTCCAAAAGAGAGTGATAATGGATGAGTCGACCCTTTGCGGTACCTGACTCGAGAATAGCTTGCTCCAAGCTAGATTCACTAGCCAAAATGAATGGTTCATAACACATAACACCTATAGTCAGACGCTTGATCCTTCATGAGGTGAAAATAGGAAAGCAAACATACTGACACCATATCATACGTATTTGACATTTGTGGAACAGAATTCTGCAACACACATGCGAAACCATGCCCTACGACCTCCTTGCAATTAAATCACTGTCTTATAGATCTATAACTTTGTGTTCGCAAATACGGTTACTAATCAGCGAAGTTAGATCATCTACAATAGTTTACTGAGCTCACCACAGGCCCGCGTGAGACTGATAAGCATCAAAAAGTCGAGCAATCAGCAGCCCCACCCTCACCATGCACATACCCAGCTGTTTAAACAAGTTTCCAAGTTCACTGAAACTGTCTCCATGTGCACACCGCTGAGCCTTCTGATTGTCATAGATATCCTTCGAAATGGACCCAATGTTGTCGAGCTCTGTGTGGCACAATAGGGCACTCTTTATCAACTACCTTCAAAAGCCACTCTTTGTTAACTGCATACAGAAGCCAACGTAGGAAATAGACTGTTCGGCACAGTGAGATCTTGCAACAACTATTGTTAATCAATTGACCTAATAAAGCTTCTATTTATAAACTTAAACCCTAATGGCTTCACAATGGAGTCTTCGTGATCTAAAAGGGCAACCAATAGTTTAAGGCAAATAAGAAAGCAGAATTTTGTCGAAAACCTGAGCTGTTAAAAATGGAAGAGAGGGATCTACTTCGGGGCGTTGAACACGACAGAATGGGTCGTTTCATCCACATGCCCTACTTAATTTCGCTGCGCATGTTGCACATGGCGCCATACCTAGTAGACTTTCGAAGCGAAGTTGGGCTGCAAATGAAGAAACTGGTCGACCTGGATCTTTTAAAGGCACGTCCGTTCCCAACCCGTGCTCCTGCACAAGATAAAAGAATCAAGGACGACCTGCTGACAATAATCTGTGCGACTTTAACAGGACATTCAGAGACACCGAATGACTTCGAAGGAAACAAAATGCGGAAAGACCCAAATCCGCAAACCTCCTGCCCAGAGCGCAATCCCACATGACAGTCATTGCAAGTACCTCATCTACCGACGCTATAGCACTAAAGACCAATAATAAAGCTCGCAAAGCAAAGCAATGGCGTGAAGACTCGGGACATTGGACGGTGAAATCGGATTCCGCTTGGGAATGACAAACAAGACGCTCAGCAGACAACAAATTCTGTTCAATGTGACCCGTTCAACGCTGAGCCATGCCCCAATACTAACAAGCGCACATGGAGGCATGAAGGCGAGGTATTGGGCACCTTCAAAATCGCCGCGCGTTCCGAATTCGGCATGAGAGCAAGCTTCTGGGCGAGGGGAAGAACCTGCTCACGCAATCTTGCATAATTTTCCATGCCCCTCACAGCGACGAATCCCTCCCCAGCTGGTCCCATGGCCTCCACGCAAGCTTTCGCCAGCGAAAACTCTGGTTCCTCATCCAGCTCCAGCGACGCGCCATCGCTGCTGGATTGTTCGAGCTTGGGTTGAGAGGAGCGCGAAATTGATACAAGGAGGTTGTAATCGAGCACAAGCATGGTCGGACGGCGAATCCCGACCCTCAATTGCTTGGGATTTCGAGTGCATGCGGCTTCAGACCCCGGGAAGCATCCAACTGAAGCTTTAGCATGCACAGGAACCAATCTTCTGCTTCCCAATATAAAGGAATTCAGTTAGACTTCCGAGGCTGTTGCAACAAGCACCTACTATTGCAATTATTCATCTTTGGATGAATGAATGTGGAATGTTTTTGTTTTTTTATTTTTTTTTATTTTTATTTTTTTGTATTTGGATGTAATTATATGTGTTTGTGGTTTGGTTGAATCAATAATAGGACATTTGTTGCAATTAGCTACATACTTATGCATGCATCTAAAATGATATATATATATATATATATATATATATACAGATATATAGAAGTGATATTTCATTGAAAAGGGATGGTACAAAATAAGAAATAATAAGCTAGTTTGTATTAGGGCGCTAAAGTATTTATACTACATCAATAACTAAACCAATCAAGAGAGTTTTAATCTCAATGGATGGACTATATAGATGAACTTAGTTCACAAAGGATAATACATTCTGTTACCCCCTATTGAGCTCTCAATCAAGCGACTCTAATTGTGTCTTTGATAATTCATTTTAGTAGTGAGAGCACATCAATAGTGGAGTGAGCTTTTCAATTGTGGAAAGAACACATCAATCAAGAAGTAAAAACATCATTCATTATGAACAATAAATCATTGATTGTAAGTATTGTAATTTTTATATCTTGTTATCTTTTTGTTTTACTTGAAGAATTGTTGCTTTAGTAAGTGTTTGTTTGTAGATTGAGGCTACTTTGTTTTTGCTTTGGTCTAATGTGTTATTGGTGAAACAATTGTGTGACCTTCATGAACTTAAGTCTCGTATAAAAGAAGAATCATGTTATGAACCAAGGTGTTAATGAAGCCTATGGACACACTAAGGCATGATGGCATTGGAGTAGATGGAAGGGCTATCCTTCACCCCGACATTTAAGCCAACTAGGGTAAAAATTTTGTGGAAGTTGATAGATTGGTCTCAAATGTCTCAAGGAATTTACAAGGGAATTATATTCAACTATAGAACTAAGAAAGTTTTCAATATAGTTTTTTAATTTACCTACACCATTACAACAAAAAGAAACAACCAATATGGCATTAACTATTAGACATAGTAAAGCATGATTGCTTAAGTTTAAGGACAAAGGAGATTCAAATATTTACATTAAGGAATTTAATAATATTTTTTAGGCTAACATGAAAACAATAGATGAAGACAAATTAGTACTTTTTTTAGTAATACTTAAGAAAGAATACTTAAGTGGTATACTCATTATACTATAAGATAAGTTATTTCTTGGGAGAATCTTAGAGATGTATTTATTATCTATTTCAAAGAAAAGAAGAATTCTTAAAAAGAGTAATACAAGTAGCTAATAAACTTGTCCCTCAATTCCATGACCTATTTAGAAAAACATCATTCTTAAATGGGTTAAAAAGAAAAATATGCAAATATATAGCTTTATTATCAATAGATACTTTGGAAGAAGCTTTACTATCAGCAAGAAAAGTTGAACTAAGTAACATATGAAGGAAAGATCTTATGATACAAAATTTGAAGATTTATGTGAAGATTCAAATAAAAAAGAAAAGAAGAAAAGTAGAAGAAAGGAAAAAAAAAAAAAGACTATTAAAGAAAATTTAAGGGAATTAAAAAAAACTAAGAATATAATAACAAATAATAGTAGTATTAACAAAGACAATGAAGATGAAAGTAGAATTCTGCTTGAGTTTATAAACTTAGATAAATTACACAAAAAAATACCTCAAGAATGGGCTAGTAAAAGAAGAATATACAAAGATGTAAGTGAAGAAGTACAAAAATTACAAAAGAAATATAGAAAATTCTAATTTTAGAAGAAAATTTACCTAAAAATATTGGAGAAATATTAATAAGTCAAAATATTGAAGAAAGAGAAGCAAAAAAAGAAGAAAATATTGAAAAAATAATTGGAGATATATTTCAACAAACAAAAGCAAATATATCTATTGAACAATTATTGGAGTTAGCTCCACATTGCAAAAAGAAGGTGATAGAGAATTTCTTTTTAAGAATAATTTTGAATCAAGTATATCAAAAGCTTATGTTGTAAGTCAAGATTATGATAAAAAAAATGTCTAGAATAACTATTAAAAATAAGGATCAAATTATACAAGATGTGTTATTAGATAGAGGCTTAAGAGTTATATTATCACAAGTGAATTATGCAAAAAGGTGGATTATAAAAAAAATGGCTGATCATGGAAAAGTAAATTCAATGGGAAGTATCAGAGATTTACAAATTTAAGTATGAAATTTTACTTATAACATTACAATAACATTTTTGGAAATAGAAAAGAAAATTCAAAGCTATTCCATGTTGTTAGATCAACCATGGTTTAAATAAGAAAAGTCCAAATAAGATTAGATTAGAAATATTTTAATTATTTTTTTAAAAAAATAGAGATAAGAAAATAAATATTTTAAAAATTCCAAGTCTTTTACTATTAAAACGCCTTATACACTTGAAATTTTATGATTAAGAAGGATGTTTGATTAATAAAGAATAAATTATTTATCAAGCTATACCTTCATTTCATCTTATAGCTTATATTTAATTATCTAGAATTAAAAAAAATGTTCAATTATGATTGTAACATAATAGAAATGATGTTCTAAAATTATACAAAACTTTAAAATAAAAAAAGAATAAACCACATAAATTAATTGAATTAATGGTAGAATAAATAAAATATCTTGATTATTTCTATAAATCAAGGACAAAAGCTAGTGAATTAGATACAACTCTAGCTACAATGGCAATTAAAGAAAAATCTATTCGAAGTTGGACATTCAATGAAAAACGCCAAATAGATGAAGTGAATTTAGAAATTGAAGCTCAACCAAAAACTATGAAAATAGAAAAATAAAATAATGACGATTATAAGAAAGAATTGATAAGATTGTTAAGAAAATAAAAAGATTCTTTTACATAGAGTTATGAAGATTTAAAAAGAGTGCTTGCTCACATTTTTGAACATCAAATTGAACTTGAACTTAATGCTTGTCCAATTAAAGAAATAATATATCAAATGAATCCAATATATACTGCTAAAATAAAAGAAGAAATTGATAAATTATTTAAAAAAAGATTTTTAAATAAATAGATCAAACATAATGGTTATTTTTAATAGTAATTATTCCTAAATAGAATGGCAAACTTAGGATTTGTTTTGATTATAGAAAATTTAAAAGAATCACAAAAATAGATTCTTTTCCATTATCTTTTACTGATGCAATATTTGAAATAATAGCTAGATATAAATTATATTTTATGTTAGATGGATTTAGTGGTTATAACCAAATATCAATGGTTGTAAAAGATCACCTTAAAACTTATTTTTATTATAGAATGGAGACCATTTGCTTATTAAGTAATACCTTTTGGTTTGAAAAATACACCAACTATATTTCAAAGAGCAATTATGCATGCCTTTGTAGAGTATCTAAATAATTTCATGTAAGTTTTTTTTTTAATGATTTTAGCATATATGGAATTCAAGTTGAACATTTAAAGTATTTACAAAAAATACCTTCAAAGATGTTAAGAATATGGAATTAGCCTTAATCCAAAAAAATGCATCTTTACAGTTACTTCAGGTATATTATTGAAAGACATTGTTTGTAAAGAAGGACTACTAGTAGATCTAGCCAAGATACAAGCTATCATTGCTTTACTACCATCAAAGAATCTTAAAAGAATGCAAAAATTTAAAGGTTCTCCCAATTATCACCAAAGATTTGCATATAATTTTACCAATATAATATAACTATTGAAAAATTTAATAAAATCTAATATAAAGTATATATGGAACATAAAAAATCAACAAGCTTTTGATTTTTTTTTAAAAAATTAAAAACTACTCCAATTTTAATCACATTATTTTGGAATAAAATATTTCATGTACATTGTGATGGTTTGAATGAAATAATTGGTTGTATTTTGGCTCAAAATATATTAGGTAGTTAGACTCACTAATTTATTATGTGAAAAAATTACTAAATTAAGCTAAAAAATTATAATACCATGGAAAAGAAAGCATTAGCAATAGATTATTTAATTCAAAATTTTTGTCATTATTTGTGAAAAAATAATTTAAAATTTTATGTCAATTATCAAGTATTATTATATTTAATTAATAGGTTAATATTTTAAAATCAAATAATAAGATAGATGTTATTATTGCAAGAGTATGATTTTAAAATTGTTTATAAGCCAAGGCATGAACATGTCATGGCAGATCACTTGTCCAAAATAACCTCTAGAGAAGCATCCATTGATGTAGTAGATACTTTTTTAGATACAAATTTATTTATGATCCATGTTAATTTAAAAAAAGACTACTATCCATTAACTTTCATAGATTAAAGAACACCTTTTATTGATTTTTTGATAATGGATGACTTATTATAACTACTTCACTTAATGTCAAATAAAAAATTGATATACAAAGTCGCTACTTTTATCTTAAAAAAAAAATTAATAAAAACTTGTTTAAATAGAACAAAAAAAAATTATTTAGCAAAATTTTCAATGTAGTGTTTTGAAATCTAATAATTGGAACTAAGTTGTCATCTCTCTTAAAGTTATCATCTTCAATTTCTTCTTCTAATGTCCTATCTACATTAATACTAAAGACATGGATTTCATTGATTTTTGCAATCTCCAACATATCTTTCAAAAAATTAATTGATTCATAAAAATCAAATTTGGAATTTGGATGATTGTTTAGCCTTTATCTAAATTCTCCATCATCCTTCTAATAATAAAAGTTGAAACTTAAGATTTTTATTTTCCTTGAATATTAGATGATTGATTTAACGACCAATATTAATTTTCCTTGTGTAGTAAATTGTTGGTTATCTTCTAACAAATCAATGAGATTGATTTTTCTATGATCAAGGATTGGTCATATGAAGATTTTGGTTCTATTTTTGTATAGACTAAAGATAATATGGGGCTTATTTCTTCTTTAGTTGACTATGGCTTTTGAATCTTTTAACCATAGCCTATTAAGCAATA